TCTCCGCGGGCGCCGCCAGCCGCCCCTCCGCAGGAGCCGCGAGCGTGTCCGCGGGAGGGTGAGTGTGGGTTGGCAGCCGCCAGGCACACGGGCAGGAGAGGAGCGGGGGAGCCGGGCCATGGCCGAGCCCGGGCTTCACCCCGAGGTCGCCCCCACGTCCCCAGAGCGATGGCCGCGCTCCCCGAGCAGGAGTGCGCGCGGGCTCGGGAGCTGGCGCCCCTGCACGCCGGGATGGAGGCAGCTGCGCCCTTCACGGCTCCCCTCTTGTCACCAGCTGGCTGGGAACTGGAAGCCGAGGGAAGAGCGGCGAGCGGSGTCGCTCCCGCTGCCCTGTGGCCCTGTGGCCGGAGCAAAGGAGGCTCTGGCACGTGGGGCCTTGGGGCTCCTTGCGGGCTCTGCTGTTCCAGCGCCTCCCTCCTGCTGCAAAACTGGGCGTCTGAGACGCTCCCTKCAACTTCCCCTACCACTGGATTGATTTTGGGGGAGGGTAGGAAGGTATAAAAATCGTCAGGGCCTGGGCAGCCTCTGGCAGGCTGGGCGAGTGTAAAGGTCTCCTCTCCATGAATGTGTAACCGAGGCGGCCGCATTGCCCGACCGCCCAGACTGCACAGCCTGCAGCTCACATCGGAGAGCCCCTCTGGAGAGGGAGAGGAGGGAGCGCCATGGACGGAGCTTTGGGGATGGGCAGGATTTAACACGGGAAAGCCAGGACTTTGCAACAGGACCAAGGGCTCAAAGGGAGCTGGAGGCCACTGTGGTGGTGGGATCACCATGCTCTGACCCCACAGGACTTTGCTGCTGTCCCTTTTCTCCTCTTCCTCAGGAGAGCCCCTGGGACTGGAGAAGTTTGGGTGTTTCTGCAGATTTCCTGTTGCTCTGTGATTGCTGCCTCTGCAGCAAGGGCCATTTCTCTTTTTCCCGTGCCTGCTCCCCCAGCTCTCCACAATCAGGCAGTCACAGGTTGTGCGTGGATTCTACGTGTCCATAGCTCGGGATCAAAGCACCGTCTGCATCACTCAAGTGAATTYCTCTTGCTCTCCTGCTGCAGAAGAAATAAAATGCAAAAGGGCCCAACTCCTGCATTGAATGAAGTGGCTGCATTCCTGCCAGTGGCACTCTGTAGTTATCTGCAATAATCTTTGTGACTTCTTGCTAGGTGCTGTTGGCTTCTTCGAGAGCAGCTTGTGCTTGGGAAAGTGGAAGCCTGACCTTGGCTTTCTCTATGGCCTCGGCACCCGTCTCCTCCTTCCCCAGCTTGCTTTGCTCTTTGACTTCTGTGGTTCTCTGGCCTTTCTGTGAGGAAGAGGACTTATTTTCTGAGAGGCRCTTTGGGATGTTGAGCTGTGTCCGTGGCTTTGGCAACCCTTTGGGTGTCATTATGTGCACTAGGGCAATGGCAGAGCAAGGGGAGCACAGAGAGGAGGGAAGGGGCAAGTGCTAAGGAAGYGCAGGAGTTATCTCTCTGTTGGCCTCGTTACAACTAGGATGTAACTTTGCTTTTTCTTGTTTCAGAAGTAAGGGACAGCACAGTCTCCAGTCTCAAAGAGGCTCAAAGGCGCAGACTGTTTGCAAGGAGCAGCCTGCGGAGCTGGAGTCCCTGCTTCTGCCAACATTATGGGCCACCAAAGAGAGGGGCAGCGCTAGGGAGGCCCTGCTCGCTGCCAGCCACGSACCACGGACTCCTGCTGTTTCCTGGGACGTGCTCCAAGCTCCTGAGCGGAGCCTCCTGTTGCTCTGGATCCAAGTGTGGCCGCTTGGGCACTGCAGGACATGTCTGCGTTGGGCATGAGCACAATACAACACGAGTGAGAGGTGGCCTGTGCGCAGTGCGGGACTTGCAGCGCTCTGAGTTTGGAAGCAAGAGGAGGCAGCTGCTCTTGCAGCCCCTGGAAGTAACAGCCTGCAAACCAGCCGTCCTGGTCCCTGGCGTACACACAATATTCTCTTCCTATCGCAGCAAAAGGAGGAGCACTTGCTGTTCACATCCGATGGAGCAGCAGCCTTCACCTGAGATGATGGGGCCTGGCAGTCTTGGCCAATCMCATTTAGAAATGTTTTGTAGCCACTCAGGGAGTTTCTAACAACAGCAACTTCTAGAGGGTTTCAAAAGTGTTTTCTGAGTGGATTTGGAGTCCGTTTTCCTTCCTCCGGCAATCCATATGCTGTTTTCCAGAGGAGAAGCAGAACCCCCTCATCTGAGGCCTGCTTTGGCCCAGCTCTCCTTCTCTCTCCGTCACTGACATGCTGATGGCAGTGCGGGATTGATGCCTCGTTTGGGGTGTCGGGTAGAACAGAGCTTGTTCCTGCCCTTTGTGCCCTGCTGGGTTCCTGCTAGACCTTCCCTTCTGAAGAGCAATCCCTGTGAAGCTCCTGTTGGAGCGAGGGATGTGTTTCCTGGCCAAACCAATTGCTTCCGATCCCAACAATCTTCCTCCCCTGGCAGAGGGTGGTCTGGCAGAGCCTGGTCCTAGTCTCGTGCGCAGCCACAGCCCCAGCAGGCAGCTGTGTGGCCAAACGCTAGTGGAGCAGGAGCACAACCTGCAAGGGTCGCTGCTGCCGTCGGGGTGTAGCCGTGCCCTGCTCTTTGCCACGGCCGCGCGGTGGGCCGGCATGTAGGGAAGCGTGCCAGGCAGCAATGGGCCGCTTGGACGACCACGCCAAGAAGCGGATCGTGGAGCTGCGCAAAGCAGGGCTCAGCTTCCGCAAGATCAAGAAGGTCCTGGAGCTGGACAACATTCGCGTCACGCCGCAGGCCGTATACCTCTTCCTCAAGAGGAAGAACGTGGAGCCGGCGCGGGCAGCCATGGCGCAGGCCCGGCCGCCCTGGCCCGGGCTGGATGGCAGCGAGGCCGGGCGGGAGGCGGCGAGTCCCCACGAGAGCCGCGCCGGCGACGAGGGCATCAAGATCGTGAGCGTGACCTCGCTMTGCAAGGACGGCGGGCGCTTCGAGAAGCCTCTGCCCTCGGGAGCAGCGCCAGGCAGCCAGGCGGCCCCCGGGAGCAGTAAGGCTGGGGTCCCTGTTCCTGCCTCTTGGGTGGTGCTGGCGTTTGTGCCTTGACAGGGGGGAAAAACACTGCCCCAGCTTCCCAGTCCCAGGGAGATGGCAGGGGCTAGTCCCGYGCTATCCAACCTTGCCTGAAATGCAGAGAAAGTTGGTCTCAGAGCCTCGGGAGGGGCCAGGGCCCAAGGCTGCACCTTGGAAGCTCCCTCCCTTTGGTCTGCGCTGCACCAGGAGGCCAGGAGCTCTGCATGAGGGGAGCTCGCAGGGAGCAGCGGGTGGAAAGCCCCGCCGAGCTCCCCTCTTGAAGCCCTTCTCTCAACACCCCTCGCAGGTGAGGACAGTGCCACGTGCCGCCCGAGCACCCTGGGGAGCTGCGCAGCCCTCCTGCCACCAGCTGTGCTGCAGCAGCCCCTGCCCAGCCGAGGGAGGCTCTGCGGGCCCCCTGCCAGGAACCCTGCCCTCATCGTCAGGAAGAGGATTGTGGATAGGGCTATTCTTCTCCAGAAAAAGGTATGGGGAAAGGAGGCTCGGAGGGACTGGAGCRCGTCAGGACCTGGCGCTGTGCATAGCTCACACGAGACGCTGCTCACATGGACGCCGGTGGCATCCCATAAGCTTTGAGGGTACCGGAGATGATGCCCACGTGCAGGGAGAGCTGTGTGGATGTCCTGCATGGTGGGCAGCATCCCCGCCGCCATGGAGGAGGCCCTGCTCCCTGGTCGGTGCTGCCACCTCACCTGGACCATGACACCCGCAGGGACAGGCCCAGCACAGGTGTCTTGGCAGCCCCACAGCATGCCTGGCCAAGCAGACTACTTGCTCCTTGGATTCAAAGCCTTATTTAAACTGTGTACACATGGGTTACATCAGGGGATAAGGGGCTCATGAAATACATGGCAAACACATGCTAGTTACACCCGGAATAAATGCTTAAAATTAAGCACTTCGTCAGGTCACTGGGAAAGTTTCCCCATTGCCCTTGTTAAAGGCAGTTGGCTGAAGACTTCTGGGTGCAGTTGCTGTTTGCTTTTGGAAAGGAGCAGCACAAACAGCACTCACAACTACGGGGAGTGTTTCTATGAGCATTTGGCCTCCCGCTCCTCCAAAACCATTCCTGGACTTTTCCATTAAAGTTTGGTGTTCCGTGCAGGCTCCTAAACTTCTCAGGGTGTGGGCTGAAATGCACAACCATATCTGACACTTGCTGTTCTCCTCGCAGGTCAACATTCAGAACGGGCAGGGCCTCTCCAGCTCCACCAGCGTCCTGCCTTTCCTGGTGGGAGCRCAGCCAGGCGGCCAGTCCCTGCAGGGCAGCCCAGCCGTCCTGGCTGCTGCAGGGAGCCACAGCACAGATGTAAGTGACACAGGACTCCTGGGCCCAAACTAGAGGCAAGCTGAGCCTCGGGACATCAGTGTCCTAGACCAAGCAGCACGAGCTCACGCCAGCTCTGCTCTGATATAGCCAACGCCATGGGTCCTCTTCAGAGTGCTCAGGTGTCTGTCAAGAGCCCTTGCCAGCTGCTTGAGGAGCYCCATGTTCAGCATCGTTTGTGGAAGAAACACTCCCCAGGGCCTCTCTACGGAAAMAGAGCAGCACAACCAGTTCTAGGGTTGAGCTTTGCAGGGTGCAATGCAATGCAATGAAGAAAAAAAAAGGGGGGGGGGTGGAGAAGTGTGCTATTTCTGTCCCTGTGGGAAGCGATCCCAGGCCTGGCATGAGGCACATGCGAGCCTGCTGCCTTCCACTGCCATTGTGGCTAGGGGCTCAGAGCAGTGAGTGTGTTCCAGGAACCGAGGCTAAAGGCTGGGCGGGCAGGAAAAGCAGATGAGAGCCCTGGGGGGGTCTAAAAGTCGGCGGGAAGGCCAGCGCTGCAGCTTTCCCTCCTGCCTTGTTACTGAAGCGCTTAATAAATCCTCCACTGAAGAAGCAGTCAATAATTTCTGACCTTCCTATCTCTCCTGCCTCCCGCTACTTCCAGGTCAAAGATGCCAGCACTCAGACTGTTCTGCTGAACATGGCAGGTGCTGGAAACCACAACATCACATGGGGGGGACCTGCGYTTCCCCCTGCTCCCAGCTCACGCGCCGTTGCCGAGAAGCTGGACGCTGTCCACACCGAGATGCAGAAACTGAGCCAGGCCATGCACGCGGTGCTGGAGAGGCAGTGCCGCCTGGAGCGGCAGCAGGAGCWGCAGCAGCGGCTGCAGCAGGAGGTGCTGGTGACGCTGCAGCAGCTCAGCTGCACAGCGAGCCACGGCACCGTGCCAGGGGAGCAGCCCTGTGTCCCCTTCAGCGGCATGGCCGAGCCCTCGCCCTCCGTGCCCAACTTCAGCCAGTTCAAGATGGAGCTCATCTGACCTCGCTGGTGCCCAAGCGCAGGCCTGGAGCAGGAGCCACTGCACAGGGGTAAAAGCCAGGAAGCACAGTGGGCTCTAATGCTCCTGAAGCTACACCAGCTGCCTCAGGATTACACCTGGCTGCCAKCAGAGGAGGATCCCTGCTGTGTCACATCCTGCTCTGCTTCAGCTTTGTCACATAAAAGGAGCTGCCTGGCCTAGGAGGGCAGCAGAAAGCTGAGGCCTCTCTTCTGCCGTGCTGCCCGTGTCGGCTGCTGCCAGAGCTGGCCCGTTGCCGATGGACTCCGGCCACTCAGGCAGGGCAGCTACAGGCAGAGGTCAACCCGGAGGGGGGCAGCAGGGAGGCAGGTGCCCCTCATGGGAGTCGCTGCTGCAACAGGCAGTCACACAAATGCTCTGCACCCTCCCCTGCAGAGCCTTGCACAGTAAAAATCTACCTGGTGGTTCAGGAAAGTGTGGATCTAATTCTCTGTTTTACCCGCACGTTCCCCCATCAGTGCCCAGGCTGGATAGATTCGAGGCTGTTCCAGCTGCCATCAAGCACTGAGCTGCTCACGGTGATCAAGCCTATGAAGTGAGACCAAAGACATCACTGGAGGCATCTGCCTCTGCACAGTCAGGGATAAGGCTCACTTGTGTAGGAAACAATTTCTTCAGCCAGGTAGCTCCCACCCAGGTCACCCTCCCTGCTGCCAAATTCCCAGCAAATTGGGCACTAGCCTCTGCTCCTACTCAGTGTCCGGCCAAAGTACAGGCTGCAGTCAGAGTCTCACAGGACCGTGTATTTCACAGGATGTGAATGGAGTTGTTGCTGATATGTCAGGTATTTGTGTTTCCTCAAACCTTTTCTTCCGTACCTGGCCAGGATGTCCCCCTGCGTGGACAAGAAGGGCTGTGCGGGAGCTGATGCATCTTCACAGCAGCAGCASAGTCCAGAGCGACAGTGACTGGACTTGCCTTTGAAGGGAAGGGACTGACAGGTCCAGGAGCAAATCTCAAGAGGAGATGAATTCATCCTTCCTTTGCATCAGTCAAGGATGATGCCACCATGATGCTTCTCTCTTTCTGGGTACCTCAGCAAGCATAAACTGCCTAGAACAAGCCCCAGCCTCCTTCTTTGGACTCCTTTTGTTGGAGGTCAAAAATAATAGTGTAAAAATAATTCAAGCATTAAAAAAATATATATGTGCGTGTGTGCATATGTATACATGTATATATAAAGCTGTACTGTGGGTATTTTGCAAGTCCTTGCAGCAATCCTGGTGAAGGAGGATGGTGGACAGTGGGCAGAGATGCATGCCTGTCTGCCAGGCGATGGGCCTGCCACCACAGCCGTGCCTGGGAGCACTAGAAATCCGCTGCCATCTCCCTGCGGTCGTTCATCTCGATGTTGGTGTAACTTTGAGGTTGTCTAGAAAGCAACGGGCAGGGAAAAGGGCAAGATTAGTTGCTTCGTTCGTACAGAACAGCTAACAAGATGCCCATCTCTCCCTCTGCGTTCTAGAGGCAGAGGTGCTAAAGTCACAGACACTCAGAGTATCTCAGGTTTGTATTAAAGTGAAGAGGGCAGAACATGGAGTTTACTAAAGTCTACAAACATCTGGAGGAAAAGACATGGCCAAACACCTAACATCAACTTGCACTTAATATACATCAACAGCATCTTGGTTTCTGAAGGAGCTGCCCTGAGCCTGACTTGCAGTATTTAAAACATTCCTTTAAAAAAAGTGTACTGAGATTTTGCCATTCTCCAGATGGCAAGGAAGAGAAGGAAGGGGACTTTCTTGTCTGTAGCTTTCCTGAACCACTGTCGGAGGAAGGGGTGAGAGGTGCACGGCAGACAGGCAGACAGAGATGGTTTCTTACCTTCTGATGAGGTAAAACGCCAGGCCAAACAACAAGGGCACAAGCAGGAGAGATCCCACCACAAACAGGGCAATTTCCCAGCCCTGGAAGGAAGCTGAGGCTGGAAAAATAGACAGAAAGTTGTAGTCATGATCTTTGCAAGCCTATAGCACCGTCGAGAGGTTGGCTTCTCCCAGCCCCCTCTGCAGAGCTCCCTTCTACCACCCTGGAGAACAGCCACCTCGCAGTAACTTTGCTTTTGCCCTATTCCAGTTTGGGTGCCAACTGGTCTCTCAAAGCAGGAGGGGTTTCTTTTGTCACAGCGCTCTAATTGCCACCCTGGCCCCAGCCCTGCTTGCTGTGCTGGCAGCAGAGGAGCAGAGATCGCTGTGTGAGCTCTGTCTCTTACAACCACCCGGCGATGTCCAAGGCGCGTTTTTCAAGGTGACACACTCAGCACTGGTCTTCAGCACCCTCCCTTCCACAAAAAGCAGGTGCGTGCCGGCCAGGAAGCCCTGGCGCCAGGCTCCGATGTCCTGCTGCTGCTCCAGCTGCCGGGCCCACACCTGGCCAGACACCTGCACCAGGGACTCCTTGCACGTCACGTTCAGCCCTGCAGAGAAGCAACACAGGGTGCTCATTAAGAAGCTGAAACTTTGTGCTTCTGAAATTGCCCGTGGTGGACAACACTTCATCCCCTCCAGAACACGTAGCTCAAGCACATGCTCAACCTTCCTTCAGTGACAAAACGACTTTGGAGCTCTCCTCCCGACTCYCAATACCTTGGACTACACTTAGAGYGACTTAATAACTTCAAGGTTTCTACTTGTTGGTCAGAGTTGCTTGAAATTGTTCTAATGATCAAAAGACTCTTCTACCAAAGAAACTGCTCAGGACAGGGAGGCCTGGCAGCTGGTGGGACCGCGTAGCCTTCATCTCCTTACACAACCAAACTAAAAATAGGCAGCCTTTCTTTCCACCTCTCAAGATTAAAACTTTTGAAAGTGATTTTCTGTTCTAGGTACTTCAACTAGATACAGGCCACTCTAAAGGAATCTGATTCAGAAAGGGCTGAGAAACCCCCCTCTTCTGGAGGCCAGAGCTCTTCAGGGTGTAACGACTTCTAGGTTTCCAGTTTAGATCTGCTTCCCACGCACCTCAAGGCATCACTTATAAAGGCTTTCTCAGGCAACCTTGCTCTGTCCTTGTCCCACATCCTACCTTCTAGTTGGCCATAAAGAAAATGGTGGAGATCAAACCTGTGATCTCAAGCCATTTGGACCATTTCCAGAGGTGTGTGACACTGATTATAAGAGTTCCTTGTAGTCCCCTTTGCTTGCCCATGCTCTACTAAGCAGCCCCTGCCCTCTCCTCAGTGAAGGTCTGKGCAGACACTGCTGCCTGGCCAGCTCACCTCACTCACGTAATGAGTGTGCACGGCCTGAGCAAGGTGAGCGAGGCAGGCTCAGAACAAGACCAGCTTCTTGTAGGTGCCTCAGCTCCCTCCTGGCATCTCAGGAGGAGAGAACGTGACCCTTTGGCTTGTCTGGGGCAGTAGCAGGTTGGTAGCATTGCAGACTGCACCAGCCAAGTGGGCAACTCACCCTGCAGGTAGAACCGCGAGACGCCGCAGGAGCAGTTCTCCTCCAAGGAATCCAGCAAGACGTTTCCCATGCTCTCCAGCATCCTCCAGCGGTTCAGACCCCACGCAGAACAATCTATAGGAAGAGCAGAAGTGGTTACTTGAGTGCAGTTCAGGCCTGTTCCTAAGCTTCCAGCTCTGCTCTCCTTCCAAAACAGGTGTCCTCATGCCTGGCCTCATGCACAAAGCTGGCCAGAGCCTGCTTACTGCTTGGTGGCAGCCTACATGTCAAGAAGGCTGCTTCCCTCTGACTGGTTGGAGCTCATCCTACCTCTCTCAGGGTCAAAGCAACCCCTTGCAGTCCAAGACTGCAGAGACAGTAATGAGAGTCCCTGCCTTACTCTAATATTTACAGGGAAAAAAATAGCTGCCTCCCAACTCCTCGACTTTTCTGCAGCTCCCTACAGCCCCAAAGGCTTGAGGCCTTCGACTGACACACGCAGCAGTTGAACTGCTTCCCTAAACCTTTAACCTTATTTGTATCCTGAAACACCTTCTCCAAAGCTGATCCAAGCATGGCCTCTGGTGGGGCTGAAGCCCCCACTGAACGTCCCGTCGCTGTCCCCAGGTCTAGGATGAGTTTGCACCACTGCTGGGCGGGGACAGGACGATTCTCTGGTGATTTCCCTGGCCATGCGGCTGTTACCATGACAGACCTGGAGGAGGATACCCAGCTGGAAAGCTGAGTGGCTGGGAAAACATCTCAAGAGCAGGGCTGGGTCCCTGTGTGAGCAGAGGTGCCGCTAATGAAATACCGCAGCAGTATGACCACCATCACATCAACACGTCGGTGTCTACATCAAGCCTCCCTCCTGCCTGCAGTCCCCTGGCACTGCAGGAGGACCCTGCAGGATGGGGGAGTCACAGTGAGCACAACATTTCCCTCCCAGCCTCCTGGCTGCCCCAGGCCTTTCCCAGCCCACCCCTGCAGCCGTGGTGGGAGCAAAGCTCTGCTCACCGGGCGTCAGGAAGCACAGGTCCAGGTCAACGGCGAGGGACTTCTGGGGACAGCTGTTGTGCATGCCAAGCGTGGGYGCCGAGATGGCAAAATGCAGCTCCGCACTGCCACTGCAGCAGGAGCAGCGGCTCAGAGACACGGGCCTGTTTCCCAGAGAGATGAGTCAAACCTCAGCAGTGCAGCACACGGGTTTCTCCCCAGATCCCCTCCAGAGCCACGGTTCTTGCACCCCTGAGGGTGTCAGGGAGATGGGTTTGGTGAAAGCAAACCTACTTGTTTGCCTCGTTTCCAGAGGAGTAAGAACATATTACAGTGGTACACAGCACTTAAAGAAGACACCTTTAGTTCAAAGAAGTGATCTTGTGGGAAAGGAGAAGCACTGCAGTTGCTACCTGTGAAGGCTGAATTCCTTCACCTGAAGYCACATATCAATATATAACCCTTGAGGAAGGCAAGTGAAGCGAGCAGCAAGGTGCCAAGGCTGAATTCCCTATGCTGAGGGAGGAAAATCCTCTTCCATGGCAATATGCTACCCATGCTGCCCACTTCTTTGTTCTTCATCCCAGCTGTGGTGAGCATGTTTGGCTTTGCAGGACACAGGACAAGGCAGCGAGCTCAGCAATGCACCATTTGGAGGCTCAGGGCATGAAGAGCCTATAGACACTTCCCACCCTTCCCAGAGGAAGTCGTCTCACCTATCACCCTTGCAGGGCACAACATAAGATGGTCCAAGGACACCCAACTGTCCTTCCCCGCTGCCGGGCCCACATGTGAAAACCACTGCGTCCACCAGGTTCTCCGCTGTTGCCTTCATGTTGCCAGGAATCATGGTGGTGTTGTATACAGCAATAGCACCATAGCCTTCGCTGGCAGCAGAGATGTCCTTGAAAGCTGGCTTCACCTCATCTGGAAATGCCAGGGAGATAAATGGGGTGAACATCTRGAACTTAGGGCCTTGAGCCTGAAAGGACAAGTTGGTAACAAGGAGTGGATTTCACCAGAGAACTCCAAGAAATGGCAGGCAAAAGTAGTGATAGTGATGGGCCAGAAGAAGCCACTGCTTGCTGTGAACACAGGTTTCTGGAAGGTCAAGGTTCTTCTAAGATACAGAGTGCTCTTCATGCAAGCCAGGCAGAATTTAAGAACAAAAATCAACATTAATGAATGTGCCAAGCAAGCACCACCTCATCACCAGGAGGAGGCAGCAGTGTTGCAGGCTGCTGGCCCATCCAGCCTCAGAGGTAAGGTATCAATGAAGAAGTGGGAGCAGATTCTGCTTCTGTTAAAATCTGCCTGGCCATGGGACTGGCAGAGGAGCTTTCAGTCTTCCAGGTCCTTCTGCTCTACGATAATAGCTCAGCAACGCAACTAATCCATGAATCTTAAACCCTTGCTCATGAGGAACATCCCACCCTGGCCAGAGCCCACAGCCAGGCCCTGAAGGAAGGAAACATGTGCCTGCCAGGCTCCACCATGAGACTTACCATGCTTGGGCTCTCCATCTGGTGTAAGCACAAACAGCCCTGTGGCTCCAAAGGTGCCCCACAGCGGGATGGCAGACACTTTGCCCCCATTCTCAGAGAAGAGGACGAGGCTGTGTCCTTTCAGGCTGGCTCCAGGCTTCCCCTTCAGCTCAATGAAGCAGTAAGAAGCAGTGCCGTTAACGAGGCACAGCTCGTTGATGAGGATGGCAGGGGCACTAGGAAACAGAGCTGAGGCAGTGCTGCAGGAGTTCTCCTCGAGCGGTGTCATCACAGTCACCTGCAGGGAGATGGACAAGCCACTGCCACCATCGCCGTCCCCTTTTCTCTAGGTGGAGACACTGCTCCTCACAGAGCTACTCCTTCCCCAAGTATCCCTAGCACCCAGGTAAGACCCAAAGAAGGATTTGGTTGGTTTTGACTCTCAGCTGTTCTTCTGAACAGTGGAGAGCACCAGCATCAATGCTGACAGGAGACAGAAGTGATTTACCAGAATGTCCTGGTTTTGTTCGCAATAAAGCACATACTGGAAGGCAACGTCACCCTCCCAGGGAATATAGATGGAGAACAGACATCTGCCCTCAGCCTACCTGGAAGCTGCTCTGGAGTTTTGCCCTCAGGCTGTTACAGCGGCTCAGAGACTCGTCTTCAAGGCTGTGAGAATCGTTTTCGTACAGGATGCTCTGCCCTGGCAGCAGCACTTCCATCAGCTGGTCCGCCTTTTCCGACATTCGGGATGTGTACACCACTGCATCCACCAGCCCCTCCGCCGTCACCACCATGTTCGCCTTGTAGAAGGTGGTGTTGCTGTAGTAGAGGGCCACAGCATCTGCCCCATTCTGGATGGTGTTTGAAGGCAGTCTGATCATGGGTGCTGGGCTCACAGCACTGCTACCCACCAGGAAGTAACCCAGTTCGTTCGTATGATGTCCAGACAGGTCCAACACCCGGTAGGCCAGGTTGTTTTTACCATTGTAGAGGACTAGCCAGTATCCCTGAAGGTCAAAGTGCCTCCGTCCAGTGTAGAAGAGTTCGATGTACTCTGTGTCCTCTCTTCCTCCTGGGTTGTCTGGGTTTATCTCACTGATGAGTAACTTGGCCACTTGTGCAGAGGGCTCTTGCGTCCCTGTTGGTACTTCTGATGGGACACCTTAGAAAGCAAAAATGACATGAAAATGGGCCTAAACACAGAGCCCTAGGCAAAGGAAGTGGGGGGCAAGGAGGTCTTGGGAGGAGGYCTGGCAAGGAGGGCCAGAGTTGTGGAAATGGAAGGAGGCACATCTCTCTCTTCTGGGTGAGTTAGACTCTCATGTCCACCCTCAAACACACTGTCTCCCAGCCAGTGTTAATTTCTTGGTACCTGGAGGTGATTCTGGCACAGTCATGTCCTTGAAGCAGGAGGTATCTGCTGTGATGTCCTGCCCATCAAAACTCAAAACTCTGGGACTCTCTAGGAAGGTCTTGAAGTCTAGCAGCAGGCTGTTCAGCTGGTCTTCTGACCTGGCAGTTAGCAGAGTGCTGAATGCAAGTCCCAGGTCCTGGCAGACTGCCTTGGAATCTGAAAAGGCAAGCAGAGAACTGTCTCAGTTTCACCACATCTTCATGAAAATACACTTCATCCCTGGAAGATACACTTCCTTCCTGGAAGGAATGAAGAGCAAAGCAGCTCATCTCCACCTTTGCGGCTCTCCTGGTCAGAGCTGATTCAGGAGAAGAGCTTAAACAATTGGCTCATTCCACAACGTCAATGATGTGAGCTCTGTAGCATCCCCTGTGCCTGTCCATCCTTATCCTTCTGGAGGCTTCCTAACCCCAACAGCAAAGAGTGGTGCCTTGGAGGAGACTCAACACAGGGAGCAGAACACAGCACTGCTGACAGCGCTGATTGCACAGACAGGCCTCTTCATACATCTGCTCATGCTCACCAGATCTGTACACGAATCTTGCAGGGATGTCACAGGAACACAGCAACCAGTAAGTCCAATCGTGTTTCTGCTGCAACTTGGCTTATTTGGCAAGTCCACAACAATTGACTCAGCAGGAACCTTACCCAGAAACCTGTTGTTGCCTACTGTAACTGTGAGTTACCATTGTGGTCATCTTCCCTGAGCCAAGTGTCATCATTTTCTGCAAGGTGATTCAAGGATTAATGAACTAAGTTTTGCTTTCTGAAGTCCAGTTTTATTTGGATCCTAAAGTCAGTTAGACAACTAATTCTTAGTCAAGATGTTGATCCTGTTGCCAACTCTGCCTGACAGAAAATAGGCTGAAATAGGTGGCAGTGCAGATCAGCACTAAKGTGTGTTGGGAGAGATGCAGGTGACAGTGCTCTGCAGAACACGTGACAGAACAGCATCATGCTCTGCTTAGCACTTGGCTTTTCCATGATCAGCAGCTTCACCTAAATTCATATGAGTTGGGATCTAACCAGAAGGATGTAATTAAACAGGACTGAAAACCGTATGTGAACTGGCATTAATCGACGGTGGGCCTTGGACTGGCCCTCTCCTGCCTACCTCACCTTTGAAGTAGGCAATGGAGATTCCACAGTTGCAGGACTTGTCAAGGGCTTGGACTAGAGTCATCAGGATCTCTTCTGACCTCAGGAGCCACTCCTGGCAATCTAGGAGRGAAAGAAACCAAGTGTCATCCAGCCAGTGAAACTTCAGCCACAAGCTGCAGTTCATTCCTGCGTGGATGCAGTTCAGCTGTTATTTGCTACTCAGAGGCCCTGAAAAGGCTTTACTTCATGTGGAGGAGGAGTCAAGACTGGAGAAATTTAGTCTGAAACAAGTTTCTGGGAGGAAAAATATTGCATAGACTTSTCAACTGTTCCTGTTGCATCTACTTTGGTAATGTGCACACATCTCAGCATGGTTCAAGGTAGACCCCCACTGGCTTTGCACACATGCTCCTGTCCTTAGGAAGCTGTGCCTACAGGAGCAGAGAAAATCTCTAATACCCACTTGCTAAGTGAAGGCAGAAGGAGATGGTCTGGCTGAAGAGCCTCTTGGGGCAGTCATTGAGCTTGCCAGGTGTGGGACTGCTGAGGACGAAGGACAAAGAATCCCTGGTCACAGAGCAGCAGTTGCATTGGCTCATGGACACGTCACCCAACCSGCGCCTGAAAGAGACACATGGAAAAATGAGATAAATGGGAGGAAAGCCAGAGAACTGGGTGCACTTGCAAGTTACATCTACCTGCGCCAGAGGATGAAACTATACACRTAAGGTCTTGTCCCTTCACAAGGTCTGGAGAGAGAACCCGTTCTCATCAGTATCTTGCTGTGTGAAATTTGAGTCCCAAAGCTCTCTAGTCCTCAAGAGAAGAGCACAGGCTTCACCTCATCCTTTTTCTTCTAGCAAGTCACCAACTGCTTTCCTCTCAGCTTGCTTGTTATCCATACCTGTCTCCATAGAGTTGCCACAACTCAAGGCTTTTGACTAAGGTGAGGGCAGGAAAGTCAGTACAGAGATGCTTGTGCTCATGCAGATGAGAGACCATGGGGGAGACCAGCAGAGTACAGCTAGAGAAAGCAGAAAGAGAGGTCTGAGGATGAAACGTTTGGGCCCTCAACCCATTAGCAAAGAAGTATGGAGTGCTGCTCAGAAGAARTGCACAGAGCAGAGATGCTTCACCTCAGGGAAGAAGACATCTTATGGCAGAAATGGGGATTTTGTTCCACCAGGGGGAAGAATCTGAAAAAAAGGAAAGGAATAGAGTGTGCTGCAGTGGTGACTCTAGCACAGAATGAAACGATGCTCTTTCCTGACACAGTTAACTCTGATGAGGTCTCAGATGTTCTCGGGCTCATCCTGAAAAGGTGATCTGCAGCTACGGAGCCAGGAGATTGATATTTAAATGATCACTTACACACAGATCAAGTCTGAAAATCAGAGACAAGAGCTTTTCCAGATCTTTTTTGCTTATTGTCTGGTTCTACACACCCAACCCCATGTCCATGTGCATTGCATCTCACTGCCTCTGCCCCTCCACTTGTGCCATCAGTCTTTAGCCATTCTGTTTGTCCTCTAATTTTCTAGTGAGTACCACATGCCTAAAATGTGAAAAAAAAGTAGTTCTCATGTCCCCMAAAAAACTGAGGTTACCAATGTGTCTGTCAATCCACACGAGAGCAAAAATCTGCTCTTCAAAAAAACAGGAAGGAAGTGAGTCAATCTCAAATGACAAGTAATGCATTTTCAAGTCTGTGGTCAGAGCAGAGATTTCAGCCTGGATCAGGTGAGCAGCGTCACCATCAGAGATACTGAAGTCCTTCTCCTCTCCCTCATTTTGACCTGGAATTCCATCCGTCTGTCACAGAGCAGTGATGGCCAAACTGGAGATACGCCATACAGTACTACAGACCTCACGGCTGCCAGCAGCTCTCCACTCAAAGGGAATTTAAACATCCTCATAGTCAATTCCTCTCTTTGGAAGGGYAAAGAAACAAGTTAAAGACGACTCTAGTAGGCAAGGACAATTCCAGTGGTCAAATGCTATTCCTGGACCTATCCAATGAGAAGCCCCTCACCATTTGTTTTCGTAAGCAGGTCGGCCCGGGGTCAGGGTCTCCAGCAGCTCGGGGTCTGGTCCCTCGTTGCTGGTGTACACAAACGCATCCACCAGACCCGTCACTGGCAGCGAGCTCCCCAGCAGGAAACTGCTGCTGCTGCCTCTGTAGAGAGCAATGGCAGTGGCACCATCCCTGAGGACGGGGCTGCTGGCGTTCAGTGGGAACGGCAGATCTACTGCAGACCAGGAAAGAAAAGGAAAAATGACAGTATATAAGTATATAAGAAATGGACACGCAACACCCAGGTAAGCAGGAAACCAGCATCACATAGGGCCTGGAAACGCGCTAACCCAGAGAAGGGCTGGTAGTCACAGATCTTGCAAGGTCTGCAGCTACAGCCTTCTGCTCTGCAGCATTTCTCACATCCCTCCGAGCTGGATTTCTCCCCTCGTGATCAGGGTTGCAGGGTGGGAAGAGACCAGAGGGGATGTCTGAACAGAGTTTGTTCTGCTATTTGGGTTGTCCTAACAGAGAAGCTGATTCATGGGCAAGCAGGGGAACTGCAGAAGTGCTGATGTGGCTGTCCGTACTGGGGTCAGGTTTTAATATGTAAAAGAGATCTGCAAAATGAACTAAGCTTGAAAGTACTGGTTGTTCTAATAGTACCACCAAGATATTTAAGAACTTTCATTTTATTTTTGCATTTAACTAGCAATATCTGGTTTTCACAGACACACACCGCACAAAGGCCCAAGGTATCAACAGAATTTGCTGCTGTTCCAKTTTCCTGATCCTTTGTGATATCCTTTGTGAGGATATCTCAAAGCAGCAGCCTGCTGAAGTTTCAACGATCTTCCCTTGCCTGGAGGACTCTAGGGAATAAACATAAAAGTAGGAATCACAGGAGAGGGCCAAGGGGTGCAGAGAAGGGACAGCCACCTATGAAGTGCCACCAGGGACCTGCAAGCTAACAGACAGTCTGGTGCACCAGCCACTGAGGTACCCCTGCACCTTGCCCACCTGAAATCTGGCCAGAGGGGCACTTTTTCACCATTCAATGGAAGCTTTTCACACCAGTAGAAATCAGGGCAGGACTTCTGCCCTAGTGTTCTTACAGTTCTAAATCCAAAGCTATTTTCAGAGCTCCTGGCCCAAATTAAAGATAATTCAAGGGCCAACTTTTCAGAGTGCTTAGTGTGGCAACACTATGAAAGCAGCCTTTTAAGATGACTAAAATGTAATCCAGTATCACTTTATTTTTAGAAAAATCTGGACCACCCTTCTGCAGAAAAGAGTTTATCAGTATGCGTGCCATGTCTTGAGAAAGTCCCAGTGGAAGAAAAGCCAAAGCAAATCCAGTTTCACTTTCTTGCCTTGTATGAGCCTTGAGGGACAGTTCAATCTAATCCCTAGAAATGAGAGTTTAGCTAAGCCCCTRTCCTGAGAGCTAGTCGTGCTCTCAGAGCACTTTGGTTGAACCTGACTGCAGAGGAGGAAGAGGCACCGGCCATGGTTCTAAGTTTTTACCAAATTTGTGCTCCCCAATCTCACTCAGGGCCATGCAGGAACAATCCCTGCTTGAAGCACGGCAAAGATGAGGGCCGGCCCCAGAGAAGAGTATAGACAATAAATTCAGTGTCTGTCAAGGAGAGGCAAGGCTTCAGTTTAAAAATGTTCCAACTCTATGTTTTTCTGGCAGCATCCATCTGAACATTGTTCTGGTTTTCTTTAGCAACCCAGCTACTGAGTCAGAAACAACTATTTTATATATGCATTTAACTGCAATGTGGGAGCCAGGTTTTTAAGGGATGACAGGCGCTGACTCAGAGCTCATGATTCAGGCATTTGCAAAAGAGAGCTGCAGAGTCAGTTTCTCCAGCTGCCACATTCTTTTTCTGAGGTGCCCCAAAGAACAAGACAGCCCATCTTCATCTGCTAGCTTGGGTGAAATTTGGAAAGCTGTAGAGAAGTTTAGATCACAGTTTCAAACAACTGGTGCGAGTGTGATCTACTACATTTGAAGATGACTTGGTGAAAGAAAAGCCCCTGTGCTTTTGTGGGGAAATGCAACGAATATACAGCAAGTCACAGAAAGGAGACATAGACTTTCTTCTCAACAGTGACTGTACATAGATGTCCAGGCAAGACCAGGAGAAGCATACATGACATTTTCCCCTAATGTTTTATCCATATCTGTCTTTACTTTGGAAACTTTCTAAGATGGATGTACTTTTGTGTATTTAACAAACTTACAGGACTCTTCGGTGAGCCTTCCCAGTTTCCCTGTGAGCCCATGTGAACTTCTGACCTTCCATAAGGTTCCTCACCCTGGAGCTCTGCAGATCTACCATCACTGTAGGAAAAACTGCCTCAACTTGTTTGTCCTGAAATTTTCTCCTTCCATCTCTATTTGAGGCCCCTCAGCTCTTGCACCAGAAGAGATCATGACCAAGTGATCCCTGTCCATTTTCGTCAGACTACTCGCATTTCTGGAACCTCTATCACGGCCCTCCTAAGTCTTGCMCTTCTTAGGCTGAAGACCCTAGTGTGCTAAGTTGTTTTTCATACGGAAGCTTTTCCAGACTGCTGACCATSCTTCCTTACCTTCTCCAACCTTTTTTATCTCTAATATATCCTTTTTTGAGATCAAAGTGTTATTATATCAGATAAGATACAATTCAAGATGCAGGAAGGCCATGAATTTATGCAGTGGCATCAGGATAGCCTCCATTTTGTTCTCCTGACAATTCCTAATATTTAATTTGCTTTTTTACTTCCTTTTCCAATTTTTTTTTCTTGGTCACTGAGTACTCTGCTCACATTTGTATTGATCTATCACAATGCGAAACAGACAGAGGACAGCATTTCCCAACCCCAAACTTGACCAATTGCTCCCACAGCTCTCAGATGGGTTCAGGACACAGCCCTTACCTGGGGTTTGGCTTTGTGCTGGACCAATCAGAAGTAGCCCATCCGGTGAGGTTTTGCCATATATGTCCATGGCAAAATAAATCTCTTTGGTCCGTCCATCGATCAGCACCAGAACCAGGTCTTTCACGACAGTGGAATGGGGACCCTGAAGCTCTATGTACTCAGAGTCCTCAGAAGAAGAGACAGTGTGGACCTCACTGATCAGGACAGTAGACACATTCAGCTGAGAAGTTAGAATGCAGTGGTTCTCTTTGCCTGGGCTAGGCACGGCCACCTGGAAGATCCATTGAGAATTGATCCCACGACATCTTTCAATTGACTCATCCAAGGTCCTGAATGTGGAGTCCTCCAGGAACGCATCTCTGCCAGGGGTCAGGACACTGATGAGCGTATCTGCTCTATCTGTCTTCTTAATCTTATGGACCAAAGCATCTACCAGACCGTCACTTGTGACACTCATGCCTTCCTTGTAATTCCCCTTCCCATAGTACAGAACAATAGCATCAGGGCCATTCTGGATGGTGTTCTTAGGAATGACCATAGCAGGGTTTAAGGAAGAAGAGCCGATGAGAAAGAACCCTTGGCTGTTAGTGACTTTGCCCTGGAGGTTCAACACCTTGTAGGCTTGGTTCCCATTGCCATTGTAGAAGACCAGATAGTAGCCATCTAAGTGGGCAGTTCGACCACTGGTGTGATAGAGTTCCACAAACTCAGAAGTGTCCTCTCCGGGACTGTCAGTGTTGACTTCATTAATCAAAAGCATATGTTCAGTTTTCTGGTCTCTAGGGTTTTTTCTGAGATTCTGAGCAGCGACTTTGTGAAACCAGATGCAAGCAAGTGCCGTCAACCCAATCAGCCTGGCAGCTCCCATGGTGAGGGCTGGAATTCCGGTGTCCTGTCCCTTTCCCAGCCACGATGGAGCATGGAAGGAAGATGCTACCACTTGGTCATTGCAAGGTGGCAACACAAGGCCTTGCAACTGCCTGCGGACTGGAGTAGGCCAAGCGTGTGAAGTAAAGCAGCAATACTACAAAAATCGGACAGAAAAAGGGGTGGTTTGAGCAACAGATTTCCTGGCTAAGCTCCTTCCTTCGAATGTTGAGGAAAATAAAAAAGGAAAAAGAAAAGGAAAAAAGGGGAGGGAAAAAAAAATTAAAAAACAAAGAAAAAAAGGGAGGGGAATAGAAAAAAGCAAAGCAAAAAAAAAAAAAAGCATGGAGAAGAGAAAACAGAAAACATCAGACCAAGAGGAGGAAAAGAAAAGTTAGCACAAAACACCCCACTGCAATGTAATGGCTTTGAAGCTCCAATCCATGTGGACACCTCGAACTTTTCTTGCTTTGCTTTGTGGTTTACCAAGATGCGTCAYCATTTTCAGCTATTCAAATAAACAGCTGGGGATTGTGAGCTAAGACTGGACATGAGGAAACTGCCAAACGCCAAAGTGATCCACAGTGATCCCAAGAAAGAATGGACCCTGGTGGGAGGGTCACATAGAGCCAGTCTGCTCCCAAACATCTATCTCCCCCTCTGCTCCACAGCCCTTTAACGTCATTTGCTCTTATGCCCAGGAGACTGGGAAGCCCTCATGTTTCCCAGGACTGCTCCTCACATCTGAAGTCTTTTGTGCCAGATCTTCAAGATCAGGAAYGTCCTCTTCACTTCTCAGTTATGGTTCTTCCCCAGCATTACTATGAAAATACCAATATATTCCTCTGGGCATCTCTTCTCCATACTCAGCCTCCAAAGACAGAATCCATGCTGGCTTCTCCCTCCTCATTAACAACCCACCTCAGCCTATTCCCACATTCTCTCCCCATTTCAGTTAAAAGGAGGGATAAGGAGTGAGGAATACATGGGGCAGGCTGCTGTCCAAGGGTGGTGCAGGACGAGGAGGAGGAAAAAAATTCCCGGAAGCTGGGCCAATCCATATAGCAGGAAAATGCCAAGGATTTCCCGGCGCAGCTCAGCACACGGATAAGTTTTGCTGTACAGACTGGCCCGATCAGGATGCAGCCACGGGCACGCGCTGCCTTTGGAAGAAGAGGCTCTGGAGAGCAAAAGGAGCCTTCTCCCGAGGAACCTGAAACCGCGCAGGGGGCTCGGGATGCAGCCGGGGCAACCGGAGCCGCCGGGAGCGGGGCCGGGAGCGGGGCCGGGAGCGGGGCCGGGAGCGGGGCCGGGCTCGGGCGCGCACAACGCGGAGCCGCCGCGGCCCCGCTCCGCCCATGACCTCCCCCCATCTCCTGGGGTCCCTCCGCGGGCCCCCCGCGCTCCGGGGTCGCCCCTCTCACCGCCGCCCGTCCCAGGCCGCCGCCGCCGCCGCTGTCGGGCGCGATCCCGGCGCCGGGGGCGGCGGCTCCGCTCGGCCCGGCCCCGCTGCCCCGCACGGAGCCCTGCCCTGGGATTCTTGCTTAGGCTCCTCCAGTGCCTCTGTGCCGGGGTCTGCTCTCGTACTGGTTGAACTGGATTGTGTGTGGATTACTTAAGGTCTCAGCGCCTTCAAAAGCATTGAGTCCAAGTGTGTTTGCTGCTGTAAGGCCCTGCAAGAGCTTCTAGGCAGTTCACAACACAGAGACGCACGAGGTAGAGAGTGGAACCCGCCCTGGTTTGCACCGTCCGACAAGGGACGTTGAGCTGTGGCTCTGCTCTGTGCAGCCAAACTGTGGTGGTCACACAGTGTGACCAAGGCCTGGGAATTTGCTGTGAGACTTGTAAAGGTGGGCAAGCTGCAACAGGAACAGCCTTTCCTAATGGGCATTTAGGAGATCCCAGTACTTGAGTGCCCTCGAACCCATGCTGAGGACGTAGAGCTGACCGTGTTCCCCCAAATCCATGTTGCAAACAGTGAAGTCAGACACACGTGCACAAGCAGCACCTTTGGGGTGGCTAGAAATCACCAAAATGCATTGGGAGTGAGAGGCACTTTAGAATCTCATATTGAATAAATATTCTAAAGTTCCATTTCCAAAGCTCCATCCCCMAAACCAGTTTACTTGTCCCCATGCCCCTGGGAGCTGCTGAAGTCCTGGCACCCTTGATGAGGGACAAGAGTCTGGGCCCAGCTCCTCCTCCCTGTGAAGGAGCCTTGTTCTGGTGAAAGCTGCTCATGGAGCTGCCCAGACTCCATTCCCTGCTGGGAAGCACACCTTATTCTGTCCTGGTTCCCATAACCACTGGGTGTTTTATGTGCTGAATCACTTGGTAGGAGAAGAAGCTTCCCTTTCTGGGCTGAACTCAACTCTGGAGCCTTGAAGTTTATATTGGCCGGATATTGCCCCAAATAGTGACCTTAGTGTGGTAACTGCTTTCTGCTTCCTGTGGCTGAGAGATATGCTTGAGTTTTCTAGCACTAGTGCTGTCTATGAGCAGACAGACATCTCCGCTTGCCTTGCCATAATCCAGTGACGAGAGCAGAAAGACAATATTCCTCCTGTTAGGGCTTGCTAAGCTGTCAGGGTTTATGAAGTTTAACTATCAAGTCTTGGAGCTCCTGTATTTAGGCAGTGCTGAGATTCTCGTGTTGAAAACTCAACATGGAAAAAACTCTTCTGTGGAAAGGGGTTCCCAAGRGGAGCATTCCTCACCTTGAGTCAACACGCCTAACCTTGAATCATCCTTGCGAAAGGCTGCTTTTCTGGGATCTGAATGGCGCAATCAGAGACAAGGGGCTTTCCAACACACTTGCCACAGGCCCTAGTCCCGCTTGGAGACTTGGTGCCCCTGGGAAAGTTCTGCTCCCTGGAGTCACTGCCAAGAGGGGCTGTTGCTGACAGCAAAAGGAGTGGGGACCTGAGCTGGTGGGAGGAGAAACAGGACCCTAGATAGTAAAAGCTTAAGTCATTCACAAAAAAATGGTTTCAATTAGCAGTTTGCTGAACCCTCCTCAAAGCTTTTCCAGGTCATCAAGGAAGCTTAAAAGCAAAGAAATCCCAGCCCCGCAGTCCAGTGCTGGACTCCAGGGCCAGCCTCCTGGCGTGTGAGCTGGTGTGGAGTGGATCACATCGCGGGTCCCTGTGGCTGGATGGAGACTGTGACCCTGCTCAGGAGGGTCTGGCCTGTTGGGGGCTGGGGCTGTGCTTCTTGGCCACGTTTTACCATCACCTCATTGCAGATGCCCAAATGCATGTTGTGACCTGTCTGTCTGGGTACGTACCATGATAAAGAGGAGGTCTAGGCCTTAGCACAGAGCAGCTTGAGCTGTCACTGCTTTCATGGGTACCTGTACCTGCTGGCTGGCTGGCCTGGCATAACCACATCCATGCTTTCTTACCTACTCCAGGCACTGTGCACTGGGATCCCTGGATCCTCCTGCTGAACAGGTGAGCCATGGATTTTGACAAGAAAATCTGAATGGAAAGTGAGCAGTCCCAAAGCTTTACCTAGGGGGAAAAGGAACTACCCATTGACCCGAGGAAAGGTGAGTTGGGATGAGGAGAGGAAGAAGCATCAGATGGGGTTTAGATAAATGAAGATGTGTCTCTGCTTGCAAATATCCCGCAGGAAATGACCCTAACCACAGAGATGGAGCTTGTGCAGTGATCTCTGGGCTTCTTGCTGGGGCGGAAGCAAGAGGCACCACAAGGAGCCTAACATGGGTTCAATTGCCTGAGGGAACTCAAGTGTCCTCACATTCGGCCTTGTGGGTTCACAGTGTCTTGGCAGTTCACTCATTGGTGCAATTCTCCTTTCTGAAAGCCTGTGGCGCTCTGCCATGTGGAAGAGGGCTTGGCACATGCTTTGGACCACTGGGAATTCCTAGCCCATGCGATGGTGTTCTGAGCTGCAGGGCTACTAAGAGAGGYCACCGTGGAGCTTTGCCCAGCCAGAACCCTCTAGGACTCAACTGTTCACAGTTGAACAAAAATTTTAACTACTCCTTAATTAGGAAAACCATGTTGTCAGAATGTATTTCCTGCCTATATTTTGAATAACCTCTGTAAGCTGGGCTGGTTAAAGGCAGAAAAAAACTGAAAGGCTCAGATGCTTTATGAGAGACTGTTCCTCTTGTGTTGAAGATACACCAGAGGAAGCTGGTTTCAGTCTCCCACAAGTCTGTGGAGCTTGACCAAGTCTGTACTCGGGCAAAGACATTGAGTCTCAGGCTGAGATGACACAAGGGTCGGGGATGGCTGATCCTYGGTTTGGGGAGACAAGTGGGTGCTCCTCCTCACCCAAAGGGTTGTCTTGGTTGAGCAGCACCAGTAACATCTGTGTAGGACCAGGCTGGGCTGAACTGGCTCTAGTGCAGCCCAGCCTCCTTTGGGAAGGTGTTTGGGTGACTTCCTCCACTCACCATGGTGGCCACTGTAGAGGCATGAGAGCAGCATCCATGGCCATGGGTCTTGAGCAGGGCGGGGTACAACTTTGGCCACGGGTGCTGTGTCCCAATGGCCAGCTGTGGCTGTGRGTACTATGTCCTGCCAGTCTGCCATGGCCACGGAGTCAAGTCTTTCATGCCAGGCAGCTGTGGCCGGGCTGCCCCAGGCACATGGGTGACCTGGAGGGTACAGGGAGGCAAAGTGAAGACACGAGCAAGGAAGCTTTGTTTCACCAAGAGCTCAGTGTTTATTGATTTTGCTTTGGTTGCTAACGATTAAGACAATGACCAAGCTGCTCCACAGTGCGCACAGGTACATACACACAAACAACGCGAGACAGCGCCTTGGCAGAATATCCTCAGGCATCCTGGAAGCAGTGCGYGGCTCTGCCGAGCGTGGCCCTGCCAAATCATCCGTGTTGACCCCACCGTAACTGCACTAGGCTCTGACTGCGCCTACATATGGGAGGGATGAGKCCCCCAGCTCCAGCAATGACTGCATGTCAGGGGCCCGACGTGGAGCATTAGAGTGGTCTGAGCTCATGTGGGGACTAGCGCTCCCCATATGCATGTTCTACTATCAGGACCGAGCTCCCTCCTTCCACTCAGCAGGGTCTTCCTTCCATAGCTAATCTATACTGTGGGCGGCTGTGGCATCTCTAGGCTGATCAGTGCTGCCTCTAACGCTACTGCTGCGAAGCATGACTAAAATGCACT